GTGTGTTCCACAATCATATTCGAATAAACATGAAAATATTCCGTCCGAATATCTGTTTCTTGTTATAAATATAACAGCTAGAAGGATTTACAGTTAAAATAGGAGAAACATTTCAGGAAACTATTGTCAATTAACCACAGAAATAGGGACTAATAACATCAAGAGATAATAAATAAGGCAATATTTAGGTAAATTTAACCCTTTACACTTGACTCCCCAGGAAGGGTCGTAACACCACTTGCCTCATGCACATAAGTGACCAAAACAAAGCAGCATGGAGACACTCCGTCTCCAACCACCTCTCAGGCAGCAGCCTGCACTCCCAAGTTCTACACGTCACCAGAACATAAACAACCGCAACACAATAAAAGCAGTGTTATACAAAATGGAAGGCCTGTAGTGTTTATTCTCTTACAGTAACAACTTATCAATTTTTTGGAGGAATTTATTTAAGATTTTTTGGTTTTTATTAATTGTGCAATAGAAAAATAATCGCTAGATTAATCATCTAAATAGTCATTAGAATAGTTGACTATTCGATAAAATAATCGTCAGAATAATCATTTTAAAAATAATCATTTACCCCCAACCCTACTTTTTTAGAATACCAGGATAGGAAGGATGGTGTAGGTTTACGTTTATTAGATTGATACATAAATATTACCAATAAGAAAGTGTACGTTGGTGTGTGTCAGAAACAGCATAAGGCTTAATGTCTTTTCCAAAAAAACCAGGTGATGGGCCGGTCTCCAATCAAAATGCCCGGGCTGAATTTTTGTCCCAGTCCAGCCCTGGGTGTATCGACCACGCCAGTCACGTACTTTAGAGATTTATCGCCTTGTAAAAGTTCATAATCAGCGTGACTACATCGGCACATCGCATGTGTAACATCTCCACAGAATCTCCTCTCGCCTGGCATAGCTTCTACTTACCAAATGGCCAGATCTATGGTGGTTTTTTCTTCCTGTGGGAAGGATTTGAAGTTTGTTGAACTTGCAGCCATTTTCCTTCTGTTTCTCTGTGACTGATTAGATTACGTCACTTTCATGAAGTGCATTTGTAGTCCTGGACTTATTTTCACACAAAACCTAAAATAGAGTTTCCCCCTGTTCGAAAATCAGCGCTTTCTTTGTATCAAAATGTTTCTTTAAATTTCACGGACATTCATGGACTCACCCAACTAGGCTGTTGTTGGTTTAGCATCCACGACACAGCAGAGAACATCTGCTAGTAGAAGCTAACGTTAGCATTAGCAACTCTACCACACAGCAGAACTCCTCCAGGCTTGTGTTATTTGTGGAGATAAAACATCAGTGTTGCAAAACAGCCAGTGGTAGAGTCACATTGCTGTTAGCCAATCAGAGGCAAGATGTCCAAATACCAGGAAATAAGACTCCAAATTCTGTTGTCTTAAGCTCAGCTCTGATCTGGCTCACTTCTAGTTCCTGTAAATTGTCCACCAGAGCTTTGTTTCCCCAGAGTACAATGTACACAGCATTAATTTCTACTAAAGAACACTGCAAATATATTGATTAAATGTGTGTTCCACACCTTTAATAAACAGGGCACTAGAAGGTGGGGAACAGGTCTGTTTTACTTCTGTAAACTTCTATCTTTATTTTCTGCATTTTGGTTCTTGTTCATGTTAATATAAGGAGGCTGCATTCTAGTGCCTGTAGAAATGGATGTGTCCACTCAGGTGTCGTTTGTAGTGCTACTGATTGAAGCTGGAAAGTAAATCACCTGAGGATTGCACCATTTTCCACCTGTTTATTTGTCTTTAGTGAGTTATTATCTATGTTGTGGTAATCATCTTTATCTCAAACTCTCAAAAGTAGGCTACTCCAGATTTAAACATTTGGAGGCATAACTCATCCGTGTGGAGTAAAAACCCAACAATGTCTGTAGAGAGCTGGTTTCACTCACAGATGGGCCATTCCCATCTGTCGCGGCCCGGGTAGCCCCAGTCGGCCCCAGCCTGGCCCGGTTGATTCCACACATCCTTGTCTTAAGCCCATGTGGGCTGATTCTACCCACCAATCAGAGGCTTGCTCTAATGGAAGGTGTGCATTTGCTGTCAGCAGTGGGTGTGTTGGCCCTGGTCGGCCTGAAGCAGACCCCCTCGAGAAGAGGGCTGAGAATGAGCCTTGGTTGGCCCGGAAAAATACCAGGCCACCCAGATATGTAAACAACCTACGCTACCCGGCCCGGGCCGACCTGGTACAGATGGGAATGGCCCAAGAGTTACAGGAAAGAAAGAGGAACTATTTCAGAGAAAATATGGAAGTGTTTAATATTTTCTGCTACAGCGTAGAGGCTGTTGTCCCTTTTTATTACAAGTTACTTGATTAAACATGACGCAGCACCACTGTTCTTTCTCAACAACGTATACACACACCTTGGAAGCGATATGCTGAAGAATCTGCCTATACTCACTCAAAAGTACACATTTAGACCATCGACATATATACTGGACAATGTGTGTCCATAGGCTCCAATTATAAGTTTTTGAACCAAAATGGGAGGTGGCCACCACCGCCGTCTTGACCGTGTCACAGGTTCCGTCAAACCTAGACAATTCCAAAAAAGGGAAGAGAGGTGGAGCTGAGGGTGGGGCTGTGAGGCTGGGATCAAATGACGACACCTGTCGAACTGAAGCGATGTAGCTACAAGCTAACCCAAAGCTAACGCTGAGGTGGGAGCTAAGCTAACGGAGGTAGCTACTTAGCTACAACCGGAGTTAACTGTGCACAACACCAGAGCTTCTGAGTCAGAGATACGCCGGGCTGACCGCTGGGTAAAACCGGGTGGAACACAGAGGTCTCCCGAGAGCTCCGCAAGCCGGCAGCCGCGCAGCAGACCAGCGCCGCTGCGATCGGAGATGCGCAGAGCTGCAGCTGAGGGGAGGGGACCATACCGATAGTCGGAACCCAGCTCCACCAACATGTTATATTTCAACCCATTTTCTAAAGTGCAGCATTATGTTAAATGCACTGGGTTTTACCCTATTACATTTAAATTTCATGGTTAAACAGTACATGTTAAAATCTAAGCTCAGCTCGGCAGTGACCTAAAATACATAAATATAATTTTACTTACCGAAAAAAATGAAGTGGAGACTCCTTGGACACTCTATTAGTGCAATTAATGCCACAGCAAGTCATTTTGTCCAACAATTGCACAAATAATATCCAAAAAGAACGCACAAACGCTACAACTAATAGTTTTCAGGCGAGGCCGGGGCTCAGACTGAGGCCTTTCCCCAGAGCTAGCTCTGTGGTCACGTGGGTCTGGCGCTCATTAATTATACAGAATTTTAGGCTTTTAATACACTTAAACAGAAGAGTGACAAAAAAAATCACCCCCCCTCAGAGTTGTCATGAGTGTAAACTAGATCTATTAAACAAAAAACATGTTTTGGTACCAGGCTGTACACATGTTTATTTCTGCTGTGAAATTGGTATTTTTAACATGGGAGTCGATGAGGATTTGCTCGCCTCTGACACCAGCCCCCAGCGGATGAGGGTGGAACTGCAATTTTTTTCACTTTGTGTTGGCTTCATTTTCAGACTCGAATTATAGGGGCTTGATTTAGACTGAAACTTTACTTTCTCCTCACTCATCGTTCATTCTTTAACATAAAACAAAAAAGGCACTTTTCACAGGACTCACAGTCAAGCCTGAAGTCTGCTGATGTGTCCTTGAACAGGACAAACTCCAGTAGCTCCAGCAGTGGTGCCCTGGAGCCAAGCCTGACCTCTGACCCCTTTGAGGAGGATAGCTGACACAAAGAGAGATTCTCCCAGTGGGGATTAATAAAGTATCACATTATCATTTGAATGCAGCTGATTGTATCTTTGTGAGTGTCGGTTTCCTCCTGCAGACCATCCAGTAGCAGTGGTGGTGCAGGCTCGTCTCCTGGCTCAGCTGGCTGAAAGTCTGCTCACCACATGTCAAACTATAAGAAACAACCAGTTTACAGTGTCCCTCCCACCTCGCTGCTGCTTCAATGAATGAACTCCAGCTACAGATTATTCTTCTAGTATTAGTGCCAAATGTCACTGAAGTACCCGCAGAAAGCTAGCTCTTAACTTTTTTCACGTAATGGTGATAAACTGTGTTTTCTAGTGGCTGGAAAAAGAGATTTAGACACTCTTTGTAGCACTGCAGGACAGAATGTCTCACTGGTTAGAGAAGCCAGATCCAGAAAAACTTGAAAACAACATTCTGTTTCTTTTCTTTCCCCTTTCCCTGTGGTCAACGATGATCCCTCCTGCTGGCCTTTATCCCCAAATCCCCACAGACAGAGTCAGGAAGGAGGGAATGCTTAAATGCTTTGAATGATGGTGTGGAATGCTCAAAGGAAGAGTGTGTGTGCTGGTGGTAAGGGGGGAACAAGAAGAGAAGGGAGTGTGTGTGTGGGTCCTCCTGCCTGGTCTGGGATCTGGTATGCGTGACTGAACAAGAGGGAAAAGTACTCTGAAACCTGCCTTGCTAACTTCTAAAGACGTACAATGGCCCCTGACTGCCCAGTGAGTGTGTATCTGTGTGTGTGTGTTTGGCGTGTCACTTCTTATATGGGACACGTCCTGATGGAGAGCAGAAAGAGGGAACATGCACCCTTAACTAACTTTTTAGATCCTTGCTCATGCATCTGCAACTCCATCGAAGTTCAGCGCAAGATTTCTTTTTAATAAAGGAGACGTTGGTGATTAAAACAATCAGCAGGGTGGAACAGTTCGCTATAATAAACGCCATAGTGATAATTAATTACACAGCCACTGCAGCCAAATCAAGACAGCAAGCATCCATTTTGAGTCTCCTCATAAATAATAAAACAACACCCCCTCTTTTGATAAACAAAAGTGGACGGATGGAGGACAAGTGCTGAAAGTGTGGGACGCTATTAAGAGGAACGAATTAACATAAAATATCAGATTAAATAAGTCTGACTGCTGAAAGAAAAGACACGAAAACAATAAACACCCACACACTAGCTCTTTTGTTCATTATATAAATATCTTTAATTGCTTTAACCGTAAGAATATAAAACAATTTAATTTGGGATTCTGCTTTTTTTTTCCATTACAAACACATCATATACAGTACATCTTATTGTCAAACACACAGCTTTTTCAGCAGGACGCACATCTGTATATTCATTTTCTAGCAGGTCATTGCATTTCATCAAAAAACGTGCGCACACTGGCGTCAGTGTGCGCGTGTGCATGTGTGTACAGCCTAAATCTGTGTGTTTGTGTGTGATGGGAGGACAGAGAAAAACAAAAACAGCAACAAAGAGGCGCATTCTGCTCGTCGTAACCCAAGAGTCAGCAGAGAGAAAAGGAAAATAATCAATTGCTTCTTATTCCAAGCATGTCTGAAAATGGATTAGGGGGTATTTTTTTAATCCAGCAAGAAGATGAAGGGGTTAAAGGATGAAGAGAGGGGTAATAAAATAAAAGAGATACCCCTGCCTCCTCACTCTGCACTGGTGAGAGCAACATGAGTTTGAATGTGTTGGTTTTTAATGTGGGAAAAGAGAAACCGTGAGACAAACCCTGATTTGCTTCCATCAATAAAGGGTAAGAGATAGAAATCACTTCAATTTGAAGTACTCTCAAGAATATTCACTGACATTTATCTCCATCAGCATCCTTTACAAAAATACCCACAGCCCATGATCCTGTAAGGACCTACATTGTGTTAAATAACAAAGTGATCAAACCTTTTCATGTGCTCTGTCGTTGGTTTTCTATTACACTGTTCTAGGTAGTCCTGCCAGGGGTGGAGGATCATAAACGGGTAAAAAGAGCATTAAAGTTGGACTTTATCCCTTAAGGAATGAAGGAAACAAACAGAAAACCCCTAGAGCAATAGAAGGTTTCTTTGATTTTGCATAAAGCGACATCTTATAATCTGTCTGGATGTTAGTGCTCGTTTTGAATAATCCTGGCTGTTTGTGGGGTAAATTAACAAAGGTAGTTATACTGGTCTCCTTTCTCTGGCTCTGCTCGTGGAAGGAGAGGGAGGGAAGGGATGGAGGGAGGGATGGATGGGGGAGGGGGCAGACACAGTCCCTTTAGGCACATTTTCTACCAGTCTCTCACTCCCAGCTTTCCTTCTTTTTAAGAGTTCACCCTTTTGAAAATAAGCACATACGAGGTAGCCAAATGTTTTTGTTTTTAGTTAGGCGTGATGGCTGTAGCGGAGATTAGTCGTCAAATTCAGACTCATACCAAAAAATAAGTCACTCAGAGCATACAATTTTTAGTTGGATGCAAGTCTGACATTTTCTTTTTAGACGTTTGTGGAAACGTCAAGATATGAAAAGTGTTCTATTAGCATAAATGATAACTGAAAAATTAACCGCTTTGCTTCATAGGTTACTTCAGTCCAGTCAGATTTCACCAGATAATACAACTTGAGATGAAACCAAAACATTTGTTAACAGAAATCCTTGTGAGCCTGAAACAAAAACGGTTTTAATTGCTTTTCACGATGCAGGCCGTTTTAGTATATCACTGATATAAACTTCAATCCTGCAAGGCAAACAGAAAAGTAAAATCCTAGTCACATGAAAGGTCACGTAACACAGGAGGATAAAAAACTCAAACGCTGTTCTACCCAGACCCCTCTGCTTGTGTTACCTCTCTCACAAAAAAAGTCAAAAACACACACACAACCATAAAACACACACTTCCAATCACCTCACTTTCTCACTCTCTGTCATCTGCCAGAGTCCCAGGTTCAACACTTTAAGGCAGGGGAGCTGTGTGATCCTCTCCAGTCCCCTCTTGGTGATCTTGGTACATCCATACAGGTCGATGCCCACCAGCTGGGTCAGGTGGTCCGCTATGAGCTCCAGCCCTTTGTCTGTGATGCGCACACACTGGCCAATGTTCAGGGTTCTCAGCTCGTGCATTTGCCTCACCATCCGGTTGATTCCATCGTCGGAGATGTGACATGAGCACAGGGACAGGGATTTGAGCTGGTACAGCCCCTGGGCTATGTAAGCCAGGGTCTGGTCCCCGATCTTGTCACAGAAGGAAACATCAAGCCCAGAGAGCCTGAGGGTGCCCATGGCAAGGTGCATAGTCCCCGTGTCACTGATGTTGTCACAGGAGCGAAGGTTGAGGTTCCACAGGGAGGTCATGTGGGAGAGGTGGATCATCCCAGCGTCTGAGATCCCCCCACAGAAGCTCAGGTTCAGCACCCGCAGCTTGGCCAGTCCTTTGGAAATGTGTTTAAGTGACAGGTCTGTCAGTTTCTGACAGTCTTGGAGAGTCAGGTACTCCAGGTTCAGGCAGCCCTCTGCTGCGCTACGGGTCATACCCGCCAAATGTCCAATCCCCACATCTGAGACATGCCTGCAGGACCTCAGATTGAGGCTCTTAAGCCTGTGGAGGCCCCAGGCTGTCAGCAGAAGCCCAGTGTTGGTGATGTTGCTGCAGCCACCAAGCTCCAGCACCTCCAGGTTTTTCAGATACTGGGCAATCCGACCCAAGCTGGAGTCTGTGATCTGCTTGCAAAGACTCAGGTTCAAAACCCTCAGCGATGGGATCTCCTGCACAAATGCATGGCCCAGTCCGTTATCTGTGAGGTTGTAGCAGCCGGACAGATTCAGGGACTCGATGTTAGGCATTCCTTGGATGACATAGCTGAGGCTGCGGCGCAGAGACAGGATCTGGACCCTCCGGATGCCCCTGGCCTGAAGGCTGGGGAACAAGGATGGATTAGCCCTGCGGAGGTGCAGCTTGGCTTCAACCCCCCTCCACACGGACTTGTGGTAGGATGCATCCCTCCAAGCGATACATACTTGGGCAACCCTGCCTTTGTCCCTCACGTCCAGATAACTGAAAATCATAGCTAAAATTTCCGGGAAGAGGCACGAAATGTGCGTCTCCATTGTTTTTCAAAGCCCAGGCATATAAGAATCAATACTCCACACCTCCAAGGCTGAGAAATGGACCCGCTCCTGCACCTCCTGCTGCTGCAGTCACAAAAGTACCAACAGTCCCAGTTATCAAAAAGTAGTAAAGAAATAACAGTTGAGGGTTTCTCTCTTTTTTCGCTCACACAGAACTGTGCAAAATCGATCCAACTCTCCGGTGCCACGTGATCCGCTCTGGTTGCGCAGCAGAACTCAGACGTACTAAAAAAGAATAAAATAAACAAAAAATGAGACGCGTTACTCCTGCCTCAACCCCACAATCCGCCAAAAAAAGGAGCAGGAGAGGGGGCGAAAGGAAGGAGGAGGAGAGGAGGAAAAGGCGTCAATCCTTCCCCCTCTCTCCCTCTCAGACGACGCTTCCTCGTATTAAACACACTAAAAGCCTTCCTCTCGCTGCCGAGCGGGGATCCAGACGGTCGTACATTTCAGAGCGAGAAAGTAAAGACAAAAACAGCACTCCTAGCGCCGCCGGTTACCAAACAGCTCCATGACAGGAGAGAAGAAAAAGCCGGAGTGAGAGGCAGAGAGAGGGGCGTCCGGGTCTCAAAGCCTTTGTCTGCTCTTTTCAAACCGACTTGGCAGGAACCCCGGCACTCCGGCTGCTCGAGAGGGGTCCAGCCAAGTGGAAACGTCTAAGTCCCTTACTCTACACCATATTGTATGGCTTTTAAACTTTGAATTTGACTTATTATGCCTTTTTTATTGCATTAATATATCACTCTGGGTGTTTATGAAGCGATAAAGTGATTAATGGACTGGTGGCTGTTTCGGTTCACCCCTACCCCCTCCGTGTCACGCAGTTGGTACATCCCGCCTCAGCTGGAACGGTGCGAACAGTTTCCCTTGGAAACCAACTTCTTACAATTCAGTTCACTTTGGGTTTTAACCCTTTGAGTGGACCACACAAGAAACTCTGACAAGTCAACACAACAACCCGTTTTTAGTCCTCTCTCTCTCGCTGTGAAAATGCCGCTTTTTTGTTTTTGTTTTTGTTTTTGTTATTTTGGAAAAGGCGGGTAAACGTTTCCTAAACGGTCCAGAAACACCGTTCTTTGTTTCAGTCCCAGGACTGTTCCTACCCTTTTTTCTTCTCACTCATTTGGAAAACTGATAAAGTTTCACTTTCAAAAAACATTTAATTAAATCAAATGTGAAAAAAAGAATTAACCATAGCTGCTAATCCGGAAGCAAACACAAACAAAATTTGCTTTTAAATCCACTTTTAATTAACTTAAGCATGTTTTATCTGTGCTGTATTTGGCACAGTTACCAACAGTCAGGACCCACCACACACACACACACACACACACACACACACACACACACACACACACACACACACACACACACACACAGTAATAACAGCTTAACAACCAAACAGTACACAAACAACATACATTTCGTGTGACAGGGTCATAAAATTTGATTGGGCAACAAGTACAAAATAAAACATTTATATCTTGGGTTGCTCATAAGGAGCCACACACACTAACCAATAATTGTAAAAGACATCTGGCAACACTTACGTTTTAATACTCAACTAATAATAGTCATTTTGGTCTCAGCTGATGAAAGGGGACCTCTTTTCATTGCAGCAAAATAAAAAGCACATAAAACACTTTTTACCTTCTCTCTCACGGGTTTACTTGTGCAAATGTGTACACCATACATCCATTTCATTAGATTGTGCACACATGAAAACAGGAAACAATGTCTGTGTAAGGATGAGTTTATTACTATTAGCGAACTGTTGTTTTCTTCTGTCAGAGGGACATAATTATTCAGAAATGCATTTGGAAGATAGTATTGCACGTGGTTTGGAAGGAGAAAAGATGGAAAATGAGCGTTTGAGAACGAGGGTCTTATATGAGGAATAGCGATCACAGGAGCGGGAGAGAAGCTACAGAGACAGTCATCTTTACACGAGATAGACAGTCGTGCAAAACCCACAGCAACTCTCCTTCTTCCACTTTACTCGCTCATTCCCTCGGTTGTTCCTAACGCAAAACCTGTACACAATAGAGTTGTTGATGTGCTTCAAAATGACCTTGTCAAAATAATTTTGTCTTTGTATAAAATGTAAATCAGAATTAAATATTTTCATAATGTGAAATGCTTTGCTAAATATTAGAAACTGCAAATTATTTTAAAGGCAGAATTTAAAGGTGTGGTTTACTCATTTATTTATATTTGCAGTGTTGTTTAGTGTAAATCAATGCCTTATGAGTCATTTAAAAAAAGCTACGATGCTCCTGTTCTGAGATGAAGTTTGCTGGTGCAGAGGTGGGCTGAAAACAGCAGGATTGCTCATTGTTATTAATGATATGCACACATCTTGTTTCTGACTGGCTAACAGAACACGCTCAGCCATGTTTCAAAGTCACTATCGCCAACCCACTCTCCACTCACTCTCCTTGCTGCAAAAAAAAAACTTTCTGTGGGCAGCTGCAAGCCTAGATGGGTGAGGCAGTGAATCCAAATTCACAGTGCGACATCACAGTGTGAGGATTTTCAAATCCTAACATTTGACCATCTATTTTCTACCATGCAGGACCTAACACAGGAGATAGGTGTAGGGGACTATTTTCATGTTCAGCCTGCATAAAACCCTTAGAGTGACTAATTATAATCAGAAATATTCATTAAAGAATGTTTTTTTAATCAACCACACATTTAATACCAGAAATACATTTTATGAAAAGTTGGGGTATAAACATTCTAAAATAAAAAGCATTTTAACAAACTTGCTTCAAACTGAAAGTGAATACAAAGTGACTCTGAGCCTGAGCTAATTTTAGACTGTAAAACAAATGTCAGATGATCTGATGATTAAAAATGTAAAAAATTGTTTGGAATACTCCTCATCCTCCAGATTACAGATGATAAAGACTCATTCAGAGCACCATTTTTAAAAAGTCATACGGTTTATATTTAAAGGAATTCTAAACAGTTTGGGCTTTCACCCCCTAGTTTCTGTTAGTAAAAATGAAAGTAAAACTCCTCTCATCTCTGTGCGTTCAACACCTTTATCTAACTGCTAAAATGTCTCCTCAGCCTTCATTAGTTTCCACAGGAGTGATCTAAAACATGCAGGAAACATGCATTTCTACTCATCAGTTTATTTTAACATTGTTTATAGTTAGAACATCTTGTGGGCTCAGAATCAACTTCTTGACTTGTCAGTTTTGCCATTTTACACAGTCCCATCCTTGCCTTGCTGAGCAGACTTTTTAGTGCAATGGTGCCCTCTAGTGGCAGGTAGATGTAAAAGTAAACCCAGTGTCATGCCTGGCAAAAAAATATAAGCTCTTAAAAGAGAAACTGTACATTCATTCTGCACACCTTTAAACGCCTCATGGAAGTATTACTTTTTAAAAATATAGTTTTTTATTAAAATGTTCCATATTCTAACTTTAAGTACAACAGGGACCGGACTGACACTCTGAAGTTGCAAGTGTGATATTGTGACCACAGGGGGCAGTGGGGGTCTGAGTGACATTTCATTAACCCTGTAAAGGGTCATTTTGGCACATACTGGCTCATGAAAATGAATGAAGACATGAAAAAGTTGCAAAGTATGCCTTTAAAGAAATTCATCTTAAACATAAATTTATCGAAATGTCCTTTGTCACTAAGACACTTTCTGAAGACTCATTAGACTTTTATTTATTCTCATAATTCTGAAGGTATTGAAGGGTTTTCATAATCTATAGGCTCAAACAGCCTATTTTTTGAAAATGTTTATGCTATGAAGAACTTGTCCTATTAATAAACTCCTATAAATAAACTCCTGATATTACATAACAGATCGGTTTAGCATGGATCCATAACAAGAGTCTGATACTTTAATTATTTTTCATCTGGATGTTAGGACCTGAGTTTCAGTGAAGCTGCATTCGCAAATGCAGAGCATCCGTGACATCTCACTTTTCTTTTTAACTTATGGTCTGTGCCTTCATCAAGGGCAAAAACAAAGCAGTTAACTGCACCATCCCTTGTGGCTGCCAACACCTATGTCCTTGGTATTCAGGCACAGAGTGCATCATGCATTTTCAAAATAGCAGTCCTGACATGAATACCAAGCTTTATAATGATAGAGCAAACACCTTGAGTTAGAAACAGGATGGGAGATTTATGCCTGCTCCCAGCAGAGTGTGGCTAAACCATAGTCAGGCCTCAAACGTCTGGGATTTAACAGATGAAAACAAATGCAGTGAAAAATTATATTTTATTTTGCCCGACCTCAG